ACCAAAATGTGATTCAGAGGCATTAGGTGACCAAAGTGCTGGGGACAGGCTTAACTTGCAAATCAATAGAATTAAAGCGTCTCCTGGTTCACAACCAGCTCGCTAGGAAATAAGAACTCTGAACCAGCAGAGCACAAAGTCACATGGACACACAACCAAAATTCTACTAGTGGGTGCCTGGGGGCAATAGCGGTCATATGAGTGGCGCACTCCCACTTCCACCCTTGATTACACCCCACATTACAATACTGTCTTCCACCCATGGCATGGCATGTCCTCCCAGTTATTTACAGTGTGTTTCTTTCATTTCTTCCAGCATTATTGTGTAGTTTTCAGAGGACAAGTCTTTCACCTCATTGGTTAAGTTTATTCCTAAGAATTTTATTCTTTATGATGCTACTGTAAACAGAATTATTTTCTTAATTTCTTTTTTGATTTCTTCATTGTTAATGTACAGAAATATGAATAATTTTTCCATTTTGATCTTGTATCCTGCAACTGTGCTGAATTCATTTATTAGCTGTCATATGTTTACATGTGTTTATGTGTGCACATGCATGTATGATCTTTAGAAGTTCCTACATATAAGAGCATGTCATCTGCAAACACAAATGATTTTACTTTCTCCTTTCCAATTTAGGTGACTTTCAATTTCTTTTTTCTGCTCTTTTCTCTCTTTTTTTTCCTGTTTTGGCTAGGACTTCCAATACTATGCTGACTAGAAGTGGCAAAAGCATCCTGCTCTTGTTCCCAATCTTAAGGGGAAAGTTTTCACACTTTTACCACGGAGTCTGAGGATAGATGTGGATTCTTCATATATGGCTCTTATTATGTTGAGGAAATTTGCTGTTATTCCCACTTTGTTGAGTGTTCTTATCATAAAAGGGTGTTTTTTTCAAATGCTTTTTCTCATCAATGCAGATGAGCATGCGCTTCTGCCTACCATCGCTCTGTCACTGTGGCGTGTTACATCGGTCACTGTCCATGTGTTGGGCCATCCTGGGACTCCAACAATCAGTCCCATTTGCTTATGGTGTGTGATCCTTTTCCTGAGCTACTAAATGTGGTTTGCTAGCTTTTTTGAGAATAAAAATATGAATGAATATTCATAAATGATATTGATCTGTAGCTTTCTTTTCTTGTATTGTCTTTGTTAGACTTTGGTATTAGGGTAATACTAGCTTCACAGAAGAGAAAGTGTTTCCTCCTCTTCAGATTTTGGAACCACTTGAGAAGGATTAGTGTTAACCATTTTTATATATTTGATAGAATTCAACAGTGAAGTCATGTGGTTGCTATATTTAACTATGTCAGAAAACTGTGGCTTTATTAGTTTTTTACATACTCTTTGCTTATGTGTTAAAATGGTGCACATTATGTTAATAAAAAGAAAATTCAATAAACAATTTAAAAATATCTTTCTAGACAGTAAGAACTTTTCTTTGTTGGAAAGTTTTTGATTACTGGTTCAATCCTCTTACTAATTATAGGAATATTCAGATTTTCTATTTCTTTGTGATTCCACTTTGGTAAGCTGTGTTTCTAGGAATTTGTCCATTTCTGGTGTCTCAGGCACCCAGCAAGGACTTTGTTATGGCAGCCCCAGCAAACTAATAAGGTTTTAAGGACCTTCTAATGTTTACCAATTAAGAAATGTCTTCTCATTCTGTGAATTATATATTAGAAATGAGTATTGTATTTTTTTTTCCTGTGGCAAAAAAAACTCCCCACACAAACCACAAAATTCACCCTGCCAACAATTTCACATGTATGTCGCAGTGCTGTTGACCACGTGCATGAGTGTGCAACAGGTTCTCAGAACCACACCACACCCTGAATGACTACAACTTTCCCCTCACACTGAACCCTCCCACCACCTCTGCCCCAGCTCTTTGCAGCCAACGTTCTACTTTGTTTAAATGCTTTTGATACCTCATCTAAGTAGAATCGCCCCATATTTGTCCTTCCGTGGCTGGCTGATTTCACTCATCAGGTACATGCCTATTGCAACATATGACAAGATTCCCTTCTTTTTTAAAGCTGAGTAATAGTTAATTGTGTGTGTGTACATATGCTTTTATACATATACATATACATATACACACATTTCCTTTTATAGCATTTTTGCTTACCCTTCCATCCATCAGCTTTCATTTAGGCTGTTCCCAACTCTTGGCTATTATGAATAATGTCGAAATGCATTTTCCCAAATGTTTTCCTGGCACTTAGTAAAATTTAAAAAACTTTCTATATCCACTAATATAATAATTTACCTTTCTAAATTTCTAAAATTTTAACATTTTCCTAGTTAGGATTTGCATGGATATCAGCTAATAATTTAAAGTTATCATATCAAATATTTTGGCTTGTAATGGTACTTGTGTATGTGTTCAGGAAATTTTCATATTTGGGAATAGTCTGATTCTTGAATATTTAGTAGAGTTTTTAGTAAACCTTTAGAATAGGATGTATCTTCCTAGATGTAAGGCAGACAATAGTAAAATAATAAAGTGATCGCTATATTTAAAGTGATCGCTATGTCAGAAAACTGGAGCTTTATTAGTTTTTTACATACTCTTTGCTTATGTGTTAAAATGGTACACATTATGTTGTTAATAAAAAGAAGATTCAATAAACAATTTAAAAATATCTTTTTAGACAGTAAGTAACCAGAGCAGGGGCGAGAGGGATAATGGGGGAAAACAGGGGAAGGGCCATGTACAAGGGCCAAGGAACTTGTATAAAGGACACATGGACAAAGCCAAGTGGGGTAGGATTGAGGGTAGGAGGCGGGAATGGGTGGGGCAGGGGGTGTGGTGGGGTGAAAATGGAGACAACTGTACTTGCACAACAATAAAAAATAAATAAAGCATAAAAAACCTGAAGCATCTTCTTGGAAGTTCTGTGTAATATGAACATTTTAGCAATATGCCACCAGCAACTTCCTCTACTGTAAAATATGATAGGTAATAGCCTGTTCCTTATGAGTCACTGTGAAAAAACTTAGAAATAACATATGTAAAATGGTTATCATCATGTACATTGGGAAGTAACACCCATTCATTTTTTCCACCAAAACGATCACAGATTTTTACTTTTATTCTTGAATTGTGCCATTTTCAAGATATATTCCATTGTTGCAAAGTGAATCATTTTTATAAATTCCTCTTAGAATTGATGACCCCTTTGAAACACAACTTCAGGTCTCCCTCCACATTCATCTCAACTAATACTTCAAGTCTTATAATGAAAGCCTTATAGCTGCCCCACTGCTTATTCAGACTTCCAGAAACAACTTCATTTTTCTGGTTGTAACCCTATTTTCTACATTAGCTACATGTACATCTTTTCCATTTTTTCAGCTTTTAACTTTTTCTCATGCTTTCCTTCTCTGAAAAAAAAATTAGCATGTACTTCTCTTACAGAATTTAAAACATAATTTACCTTGCCCAGTATAATTATTTAAAGAATTTCAAAAAATCAAAATTCAGTATTTATTATTAAACATTTACCATTTTATGACATGAATCTTATCCAGAGAAGTGCCATCAGGATAATATGAACACATTTTCTTCCTAATTTTTTCTTTTGACCTTTAAAATGCTAAACTTCCCTTGTTGCTTTGTTTTCTTCCTATCAATTCATCACTGGTTCATCACTCTGCACTAGAAATATAAATCTGTTTTCAGTGGACTCATATGCATGAGACAATTTACCAGCTTCAATTTTTTTCCTTGGGGACACCACTATATTTATCTGGAAGGACAGAGGCGAAAAGGATGTTTACACCTGGGTGTAGGGGAACTTATTTAGACATGCAGTATGTCTCCAGCAGTAAAGGCACCTGGAAAAGGTTGGACTCTCTGTGTTTAACCTTCTGCAACTGTTTAATTCTCTGCAGCCTGAGGTTTAGCTGACTACCCAGAAAGCCAGAACGCCACCCAGAGATAATTGTCAAGCCCCAGGAAATGGGTAATGAATGTATAGAGCTTGGATAACGTCTTGATGTTAACATAGAAATGCATTCATTGTTCTTGCAGGTGGTCTGCAGTGACTCCCCACCATATGGTTTTACTATTAACCCCTATAAAAAGGAGACCTTGTCCTGGGAGGGGGGTGGATTTATTCCCAGCAGCCACCACTGGAAACAAGCAGTTGCTTTACCCATGTAAGTTTCCCCTATCAAGGCTGCTCTGAATTTAATAAAGCTCCTACGAATTCGAGTAAGGCTATGTGTCAGTTCTTCGGAATTCATCCTGAATTTAGACTTTGGGGGATTTCCCCCAACACTGGGTAAAAGGACTGGGAGACAGTGGTGGGAGTAAGAATATTCTACTGACTCTGTGGCCATTTTTGAAGTGTTACTATGTTTATCTATGATGTAGTCCCTCCCCGTCAAAAAAAAACAAACATTTTTTAAAAATAAAACAGCGACAGTGTTAGATCCCTCTCTATTCGTTTGGGACAGCAAGTTGTAGAGAAATGTGAATATATGGTACGCTTTTACAAAGAAATTAAGAATAAAACTCCGCACAAAAATTTAAAATCATAAACATGAGCTTGTCATCCTATTAGGCTTTGTGAGGCTGTGTGAACCTGGTGGAAAAAGTGAGGAAAGATTTGTGGTTACCCTTCCTGTTACCTGTACAGTCTAGGGATCCTGGTAAAGCCCCACCATCAGCCTCGCCCTTAGAGCCGATTTTTTTCCCACTGTCCAACCCGCCTACTGTATTCCAGCCCCGTCCCTGCCTCATCCCCATCTCTGGAATTGGTCTTTCCCACCGTTCGTCGTACCTTCTACTCCAGCCTCGCCCCCAGGTCTGGTACCCACCCGCAATCTTAACCACAAATCTGGTTCCACGCCCAAAACCAGGTCCACTGCGCCTGGTCCCGCCTACATCCTGGTCCCCTCGACTGCGGGCAGAAAGGATCTCCACCCACGACCACGCCCCCTGGACCTAGTGCCACCCACAGCCTGGTCCCTGCCGAACCCGCCCTCTGAGAACTGGCCTTAGCTCACGGCCCTGCGGTCTGTGTCTGGAGTCGCCAGAGCCTAGCTAGCCCCGGACGCCAGCTGGACGCCAGAAACTAGCGTCCGCTCACGAACCGCCCATGGGTCTCCTCCCGCCCCCGCTCTCTCCGATCACCGCCTCCGCCCCTAGACCCCGGCATTCTCGCTCTCCGCGGTGGCCAGCCCATGACCGGAAACTTCCGTGTGGAGCCGCCAGCCCGAGACCGGAAGTAGAAGCCCAGGGAGGCGCCGTGGACGCAGTCGTGGGTGGCTGGCTGCGCGGTACGTGTTCGGTCTTCTCTGGGTGGGACGTGTTCACGTGGTACGTGTGGCCGCAGTGCGAGGGGCGGACTAGGTGAGCCGCGGGTAGTCCGGGGCGGTGCAGGGAGGGGCATGGGGTTAGGGCACCTCCGTCGCGGCCCAGGGATTCTCCGCCCCTCCCGGGACCCAGTTTCCTCCTCTGGGCTGGTCCTTCAGGTCGGCCGGAAGCTGCTGTTACCTCCCTGCTCTGGATGGCGCTGTCGCTCCTGGAGAGCTTCCCCCGACCATCATCACCCTCACTGGGTGTAATTCTGGCCCCCCAAGGGACTTTTAGCGGTGTCTAGTGGCATTGTTTGGGTTATTACAAATGGCTGGGGGTGGGGGGGTCCGCTATTGGCATCTAGAGGGTGGAGGCCAGGGCTGCTGCTCAGCGACCTCCAGTGCTCAGCCATCACAACAGTTAGTTATCCAGCCCCAAATGTCAGTAGGGCCGAGGATGGGAAACCCTGCCCGAGGGCCTTGAAATCTGAATCCCTGAATGAACTGTGAGAATTCTTTACAAGTCAGCTGAGTCACTTACAGGGACCCCCAAGTGACAAGCCATATTTAAAGTGTCTGGAGTCACCAACAACTAACCATCCGGCCAAATGAGTTGAGCAAGCCAACTGCACACAGCACGAACCCGCTTTCTCCCACTCGGGGAGCAGGTGGCTGGATGGGATCCGGAAAATCCAGTCACAGCCAACAATTACACGTTAATCAGTAAATAGGGGAAAGAAAAATGAATGGGATGCTTTTCCATTCAACAACCGAATTATGCCCTATAAAAGGACTCAAGAGCAATCTGCTGTTTCTTTGCGCCCCAGACAAGACAAGCACCGCCACAGCTCAGGTCTGAGTTGAAACCAGCCTTGATCAAGGCCCACCTTTCCTCACTGGTGGAAGATTTCTCTGTGAGCAGGTGAGGGCTGTGTGAAACTTGAAACAACAGGTTCCAGCTGCCTCTGCTGTGCAGAAAACAGCTACTGGGCTCTACCAAGCTCAGATTATAAACCCAGGGAGCCACTAACAGTGAGAGAATCTTAAGAAAAATGATTTATGTTTGGTGGATTATATTCAAGGAAACAGGTGTGTGTGACTATGTATGTATAAATCAGTAAATACAGTTATATGCAAAAAGTATGTATATATGTACTTATATATAGACAAGTACACACTAAAATAAAATGTGTAACTTTAGAAATGTGTATTTACTCACATTGCATAAGACTAAAAATGTTAGGGTATACTGTATAAGTATAAATATTTAATTTTACCTGTATATGAAGGATGACAGGTCATCCAACTCAAGACCAGCAGGACTACTTAGCAGCATTCCTCAGGCCTATTGAATTGGACTTCTAAAGCTCTATAAATATTCTACAAACGTTCAAAATATGGGCATGTTGGGAGGAAAAATTATTTGAGCGTATATCAATAACAGAAATTTATGGGGGGTTTTATTGAATGTATTGGGGTGACACTGGCTAATGAAATTATACAGGTTTCAGGTGCACAGTTCTACAACACAACATCTGTACATTGTATTGTGTGCTCACACCCTGAGTCAAGTCTGATCCATCACAATTTACCCCTCCTTTACCCTCCTCCCCCTCCCTCTTCCCCCTCCCTCCACCCCGCAAACACCCCACTGTTGTCCATGCCCATGAGTTCTTCCTCTCTTTTATCAATCTCTCCCCTCCATCCAGCCCCATCCCCATAATAGACATTTACACTAACTAGCAACCAGATGTATTTTGAGCAAGTGCATTTTTTTTCTTAATGAGATTTGAAATCATTTGGAGGATCAAGCAACAATTTACAGATTGAAGGGTAGGACACCAGTTTCTAAGGACTGACCTCCACAATTGCCTTCTAATGGAAATTAACTTTGTTTCTTAAAACTGCCCTGAAATAACAGTCTGGTGATTCATATTGCAGAGATGCATGTTAAGTAATTTTATATTCAATGGTTGGGCTTTACTAATGTTGTATGTGAGTGCACTCCCACGCATGCCTTTTCCATCAGCTTTCCTGTAGCATTCTTGAGGGGAATATTTGCTTGTTATGCAGTGGATAGTATGACCAGCCATCCATCCTTATTTATTCGGTGCTGAGGGATTTGCCAGGGTACAGGACAGTCAGTGTTCAAACCAGTGCAGTCAAAGGCAAACCAGGACAGTTCATCATCTGCATGGGCCAGACTCTAGGCCAGATGCATGGGGAGAACCAAGCGGACCTTGTCTTCCTCCATGCAGTTTGCATTCTAAATAATCAATCACATAATTGATGTGGGAGCTTGGCACAGAGGACTCAACCTCAAGGAATAGGGAAGCCAGCCATCTTGAAAAGGACTGATATTTAGCTTGAGAGCTGAGGTTGGGACTGGGTTTAGCTGGTCCTAGGACTAGACTGGAGTGAAGGTGTGGGGGTACCTTCGAGAGAGTGCCGAGGTGGAGAGAACTGACTGAGAGCAACGCCAAAAGTGCACGTGTTCTGGTGCGCTCCCTGAACTGGGGAGACAGGGATGGCTGAAGTCAAGACAGCGACATGGGGAAGGCACATGAGCCAAGCTGATCAGCTAGGCAGGCAGGACCAGACCAGGCATTGCCCTGGACTCTGTTCCAGGGCCCATGAGCAGGCACCGAAGAGGCCGTGTGATTTTGGCTTTTGCACAATGGAATGGTTAAAATGGAATTCGGGGTTAAGAATAAGGACTTAAGAGGGAGGATAGGAGGTGTTAGGAAGAAGTTTAAGATTAAGATGGTTGTTCCCTAACCCTGGAATCATGGCTGTGGAGGAGGAAACAAGTAAGGAATGAGAGACCTTGGAGTTTAGAACTAAGAGAATGTAATGAATGCATGCACTTGTCAGAAGGCACAGGACACCCACTATGCTCCTAGTGCCCGTCCACCTGAACCTGCAGGCCTCACCCTCACCCAGGTCTATGTTTTCACCCTGCTCTGCCACTCACATGCCCCTCCTCCACATCCTAAAGAAAACCATGCCTGAGAATGTCTACAGCTTCTCTGTCCACCATGGTGGCCACTGGCCACATGTAGCCATTGCAATTAAACCAATGAAAAATACAATTAAAAATTCATTTTCTCAATCCCAGTGGCCACATTTCAAGTGCTCAGTAGCCTCCTGTGGCTAGTGGCTGCCATATTGAACACAGCAGAATTACAGAACATTTCTGCCATTACTGAAGGTTCTGTGGGGCACCAGTGGTATTGGGTGGCCCTTTCTCTGTTGTGACCCTCCCAGCACCAACATATCCAAGAGGGGACAGAAGTCTCTGAATCTGTAAACCAAACAGAGCCCCCTTCTGTCCTCATGTGAGACTTTAGCTGCCAAAACACCTTGAAGGGGTATTTGGGTTCTGAAATTCCCAGGCACCTTGTCAGCCGCCTTTTCTCGTGGGGCTCTGTGAGGTGGCTGGATTCTGGCTCTTCCTTCTCCTCAGCTCAGTGACTGTGCCGATTCGTAACTGCAAACAGGGTCCCTGGTGGGGAGAAAGGAGCCATCCTCCACCTGCAGCAGGTAGGGAAATTCTGCCACAGCTGTGTGGGTCTGCTGGACTGGCACCGAGGCTCAGGGAGGGTTTGATGTGAGAAGCTGTATTAGTTTGCTATAGCTGCTGTAACAAATTATCATAAACTTTGTGGCTTAAAGTATTGCAGGCTTATTTTCCTGCAGTTCTGGGCTTCAGAAATCCTAAATGGGTTGGCAGGGCTGCATTCCCCCTGGAGTCTAGGGGAGAATCCGTTCCCTTGCCTTGTCCTTCTTATAGAGCCTCCTGCATTCATTCCTTGTCTCAGTGCCCCTCTTTTCAAATTCAGAGCTAGCAGCAGAGCATCTCCCACCTCCCTCTCACCCTCTGACCTCTGCTTTCATCATCACATCTCTTTTGCTGACCCTGACCCTCCTGCCTCCCTTTTATAGGGGCCTTTGTGATGACACTGGGCCCACCTGGATAATCCAGGATCATCTCCCCACCTCAGTATCTTTACCTTAATCACATCTGCAAAACTCTTTGCCGGGTAAGGTAGCACAGCCACAGCTTCTGAGCGGAATGCGGTGTCTTTGAAGTGGGAGCGTTATCTGGGGTCACACGAGCCCAGGAGGCAGCGACTCCCTACAAGTCTTTCGCACCTGGCCACACTCACTTATGGGTCTAATGTTCCCCTCCCTGCACACACTCACACCCCCTATCACTTTCATCTTTTAGGTATCTGGAGGACACACACAGAGACCTCAAGAAGCTACTTTTATGGAATTACATTTTATTCTGTAACTACAGGGAGAGGAGGTAGGTGTTCCCTTCTCATAAAAAGGAAATATTCTATATATGCCACTTGGTACCTTGATTTTTTCTTCACTTAAGTTTATTGGAGCTAAGACTCTATCAATACCTAAAAAGCATATTTTTCTTTGCTTTGGCTGCTTATTTCTTCATGATGTGGGTATCCCATGGTTTATTGAACTGACTCCCTATTGGTGACCATTTGTGTTGTTTCTAACCCTTTGATGTTGTCAATAAGGCCACAGTGAATACTCTCACTGTTTTGGACTGATCTCAGTCTATTAATAACTGACATGACTACATCAGCCCTTGTGGGTTTGATTATGATTGCAAGATGCCTTTCACCAGTAACCATCAGGAAACTGAAAAGATACAGGTTCATTGCTTACAAGACCTGGAAAGCACAGCTTGGGCCCCACAGGGAGGTCACAGGTAGAGAGAGCATGGGTCTGGGGTTCCCCTTTTATGGGCGTATAGGGTAGGGGCCTAAGGTTTCATGGGTTCCCTCTTTATTGGTGAATTTAAAACATAAAAACAGGAATTTAAAGTGCAGGAAGAGAAAACACATGGGCAGCCCAAAGGGTCGGTATTGAAATCCACCACAATCTCTAAAATAGGAGGCTCAGTGGTGTGGAGGCACTTGGAAAGACAACGACCATTAGGGTGGACTTACGTCACTACTGAGAATACTGCATTAGGTTTGAATGATGTGCAGTTGAGTTCAGTAGAGTGGGGGAGCTTCAAGGGAAAGGTAAACGAGAGACCATCAGTAGCGTACAGCTCCTGAAGGCAGGCGGCGTGGGACACAGAACAAAGCTGTGGAATCTGGCCTTACAGAGAAGGGAAGACAGCTCCTGGTTTGTAACAGAAGACACGGAGGATGCCCTGTTCAGATTGTCATTTTGGTGGCAAGACAAGAAGGTAGATTCCTCTTGTGATGATCACTCTGAGAAGTAGGGTGCAGGGTCATCCATCTGCTGAAAGTGAGGGTGTATTCCTTATCTGCTGCTGCTAACCTTAGTCGCTTAAAACAACAAACATTTCCTGTCTCTTACAGTTTTTGTTATTCAGGAATTCATCTTAGCTTCAAGGTTCTGGCTCAGGCACTTTTGTGATTTCTTAGCCAGATACCAGCTGGGACTGCAGTCATCTGAAGGCTGCACTGATGCTGAAGGATTCACTTCCCACGTGGCGCACTCACGTGCCGGCATCTCGTGCTGGCTGTCAGAGAGGGGCATGAGCTTCTCTCCAAGTAGCTGTCTCCACAGGACTGCTTGAGTGTCCTCGCAACATGGCTTCCCCAGAGCAAGCAGTGCCAGAGACCCAGGTAGAAGCTGCAGTGTCTATTATGACCCAACCTTGGAAGTCACCTCCACAGTATTTTATTTGTCACGCAGCTCAGCCCTAATGAAATGCAGGTGTGAATATCAGGAGGCTTGAATCATTGTCCATCTAGGAAGCTGATTACTGTAAGGGGAAAAGGTGAGGATGTATGAGATTTAAAGAGATTAGAGAAGGCGTGATGTGTAGGAAGCTCCATCAGCTTATCGGAGTGATTGTCCTGCAGGATTAAGGGCCCTTTCCACGCTGGTGACCATGTTTATCTAGAGGTGACAGTAGCTCAGGTCTCCTGCAGGCTGGCCTGCCCCAGTGCTGCCACAGAGCAGCAGGTGACTGCAGTCACCTGGTTGGAGTGCTGCTGGAGCGCTGGGAAGGGCGGGTGAGGGGTAAGGACATTTGTGGAAATGAGGGACATTGTAATCCAAGCTCGATACACAGGAAATGAGGAGAGAAAGTAACTGGTAAGTAGCAAGAAAGTAGGATAGTAGGTGGACTGTTCTTTATGTGGTAGAAGGGCACATGTGGGGAGAAAAAAAAAGACTGAATAGAGGAGAAATTTGGGAGGTTTTGTTCAAAGAGAGGGGACTTTCTGAACTGTTGTCCTGGACAGCGGGACAGTGTTGGGTGGAGACTAAGCCTGAGGCGGTGCCCATGGAAGTGTGTGGCCCAGGTGGAGTGAGGCCTGACACCATCCGGGTGAGGTGGGGCCGCAGTCTCCAGTGAATAGGGATTGAGGTTGGGGGCGTGATTGTGACCACTACGTGGATGGGAAGAACGTGCCCAGAGACTTAGTGAAGCTGAGATGTAAAATGGGATGGAGCGGTAATAGTACGTTGATCGTACCATGGTGGACAGAAGACCAGTTTTGCCCTCACACGGCTCTGGGTCTGTCACCTGCTAGGCAAAATACAGGCCCAATAACAAAGACCCTGCATTTTGCAGGAGGACATGATGGACAGGCTAAGCCACAGTCGTCCTTGGTAATCCGGAGAGGGAGAGAGGTTATGGATCTTCATTATTTTCTCATTTATTCCATAGAGCACTGTGGGAGTCCTCGGAGGAGCGCCCTGGTTCTCCCACTGCCCTGTGGTTCGGGAAAATTTACCATCTGAATCACAGGATCATGGCCATGGTTCTGTTCCCCACGTGTGGTAAGCTGTGGGGTCGTGGAGGCTCTCAGAGTCCAGGCGTTAAAAGCCCCTGTACCACAGAGCGGGGAGGGGGAGGGGGCTGAGCAGATGAGGCGGGAGTGGAGCCCAGAGGTCACTGGTACCTAATTTGGTTTTGGTATTTGGGACTTCAGTGGTGTGAGTGTCCAGGGAGATGTCACCTGTATAGTAAATGTGCCGGAGCTTTTGAATTTTACCTCTAATTCTTTTTACCAACTTGACAAAATAATGATGATGTCCCTTGGATTTCCAGTTTCCTCATCTGTGAAATGGGAACAGTCTCTTCCTCAGTGCACTCTGACTCTTGAGCCCTGTGTTCTGACCCTGATGAGACAGGGCCCTGCACTGGTTTCTTAATGAAAGGGCGGGTGTGTTGGGGGATGTTTACTCTCAGGGAGGAGGGGAGTTTGTGAGTGCCGGGTCCTTGTGACTCACCTGTGACTCATTTCTTCTTCTCCAGTTCAGTCTCCCCTGTGCCCAGCATCTCCTCAGAAAGGCTGCACAGAGGAGGAAGGGTTTGTTCATGGCTTCCTGACAGGCTGGTTACCGGTGAGTCAGGTTTTCCTTTTTCCAAATCATTCCTTTTTTTGGCCAAAAGCTGAACTTGTCACCTTCAGTGACCTGGAGCCTCACAGCCAGACCAGGTCTGAGGGGCTGCCCGAACAAGGTCAGCAGATGTCAATACTGACTGCATTGCAAAGTTTCCTGCAAGGTCACTGTCTACATCATGTTCTGCTGATAGTTCTTAAGGGGATGCTAAGGAAAGACGTGACTGCTTCCTAAACTCAAGCAATTGATGGTGGCCATTAGGAAAATCATTTATACACTTACCAAGTATTTCCTGATTTCTGCAATGTCCCAGGCCTATGCTCAACCTTTGAGGTTGAGGGCTGAACCCAGAAGCAAATGAGAGTCGAGCCCAGAACTCGGATGTACACCTGCTTTGGACTCCCTGCCACCACTCTTGTCACCCTTGGCCCTTTTCCTGTGTGGCCTCAGTGGGGTGGTCCTCGGCTAAGCCTTAAGGGTTTTGTTGGTTGTAGGACATGGTGACCTTTGAGGATGTGCGTGTAGAGTTTACCCAGGAAGAGTGGGCACTGCTGGACCCTTCTCAAAAAACACTGTACAAAGATGTGATGCTGGAGAACTGCAGGAACCTGGCGTCGCTTGGTAAGCCCGACATCATTCCTGCACTTATTTACTGACTCTGGTAACAAGTCTTTCCTTCTTTTTCTTTTTCAAATTGAAGTAACGTTCATATAACATAAAATTGACTGTCTTAACCACTTCAGAGTATACAACTCAGTGGCTTTGGTGTGTTCAGAGTGGTGTGCAACCATCAGTTTCAGAACCTTGTCATCACCATTAAGTCGTCAATTCCCATACATCCCCCACTCCCTCCCAGTGGCTGGCAACCACTCCTTTGCTTTCTGTCTCTGAATTTGCCTATTTAGAACAGTTCATATTATTGGATCATAAAATATGTGATCTTTTGTGTCTGATTTATTTCAGGCAGTATAATATATAAAGGTTTAGCTGTGTTATAGAATGTATTTCAGTTCTTTATTCCTTTTTATACTGAATAATATTTCCTTTTATGAAGATAGCACTTTTTGCTTACCCATTCAATGGTTGATAGACATTTGGGTTTGTTTCTACATCCAGGCTGTTATAAATAATGCTGCTATGCATTTTCGTATACAAGTTTTACCTAACCCTGTACTTCTAGTTCTCTTGGGTATTTATTTAGGAATGGGATGCTGGGATCCATATATTACCATGTTTAGCTTTTTAAGAAACGGCCAACTGTTTTGCCCAGCATCTTCGCCATTGTATGCAGGAGGGTTCAGGCTCCTCTGCAGCTTCCCCAACATTTGTTTTTCGAGTATAGCCATTCTTGTGGGTATAAGTGGTATCTCATTGTTTTGATTTGCATTTTCGTCATGACTAATGATCTTGAGCATTTTTCTGTGTACTTGTTGACTATTTGTATATCTTCTTTGGAGAAATGCCTGTTTAAGTCCTTTGTCAATTTTTTAATTTGGTGGTTTATCTTTTTGTTCCTGGGTTATAAAAGTTAATTATATATTCTGAATACACCTTTATTCAAAATATGATTCAGAAATAATTTCTTCCATTCTGTGGTGTCTTTCCATTTTCTTAATTTGTTAAATTTAAGTGCAGTTGGTATACAGTATTATGTTGGTTGTATTAATTTCAGATGTACAATATAATGATTCAACATTTCTATAGCTTACAGTGTGATCACCCCTCTAATTCTAGTAATCATCTGTCACCATGCAAACCTATCACAATATTATTGACTATGTTGCCCTTTTTTACCCAGCCCCCACTCCCTCCATTCTGGTAACCATCCCTTTGGTCTGTTTCTATGAGTCTATTTTTGTTTTGTTTGTTCCTTTGTTTTGTTTTTTAGATTCCACATATAAGTGTAACCATACAATATTTCTCTTTCTCTGCCTGATTTATTTAATATAGCGTAATACCTCCTAGATCCATCCATGTTGTCACAAATGGCAAGGTTTCACTCTTTTTATTGCTGCATAACATTCCATTGTACATATGTACTTCATCTTCATTATTCATTCATCTATTGATGTATACCTAGGTTGCTTCCATAGCTTGGCTATTGTAAATAATGCTGTAATAAACATAAGGGTGCATATATCTGTTCAAATTCATGTTTTTGTTTTCTTTGGCTAAATACCCAGAAGTGGAATTTCTGGGTTTTATGGTATATCATATTTAGTTTTTTGAGGAATCTCCATACTGTTGTCCATAGGAGCTGCATCAGTTTGCAGTCCCACCAAGTGCACAAGGTTCCCTTTTATCCACATCCTCGCCAGCACTTGTTGATTTATTGATGATAGCCATTCTGACAGGTATGCCCTGATGTCTCATTGTGGTTTTAATTTGCATTTCTCTGATGATTCGTGACGTTGAGCATCTTTTCATATGTCTATTGGCCATTTGTATGTCCTAGGAGGAGAAGTGCCTATTTAGGTCCTTTGCCCATTTTTTAATTGGATTATTTGGCCTTTTTGGTGTTGGGTTGCATGAGTTGTTTATGCATTTTAGATACCAACCCCTTACCAGATGTATCATTGACAGAGACATTCTCCCATTTGGTGGGTTGTCTGTTCATCAGTTGATAGTTTCCTGTACTGTGCAAACATTTCTTAGTTTGACATGGTCCTACTTATTTATTTTTCTTTTGTTTCCTTTTCCTGAGCAGATATATCAGAAAAAAAATATATTGCTATGAGAAATGTCTAAGATTTTACTGCCTATGTTTTCTCCTAAAATTTTTATGGTTTCATGGCTTCCATGTAAATCTTCAGTCCATTTTTTGAGTTTATCATTGTGTATAGTGTAAGAAGGTGGTCTAGTCTCATTTTTTTTTGCATGTATTTGTCCACTTTTCTCAACACCATTTATTGAATACACTGTCTTAACCCCTTTGTATGTTTTTGTCTCCTTTGCCAAATATTAATTGACCATATAGGTGTTGACTTATTTCTGGGCTCTCTATTCTATTCCATTGATCTATGTATCTGTTTTTATGCCAGTACCATGCTGTTTTGACTACTATATAGCCTTGTAGTATAGTTTGATATCAGGTATCATGGTACCTCTAACTTTGTTCTTCTTTCTCAAGATTGCTGTGGCTATTTGGGGTCTTTCATGGTTCCATGTAAATTATTGGATTATTTGTTGTAGTTCTATGAAATATGCCATTGGTATTTTGATAGGAATTTTGGTAGGTATTTTGATAGGTGTTTGATTTATGGATTGCTTTAGGTAGCATGGACATTTTAACTATTCTTTCTATCCATGAGAATGGTGTATGCTTCCATTTATTTATATCTTCTTCAATTTCTCTCTTTAGTGTCTTACAATTTTCTTGGCACAGGTCTTTTGCCTCCTCAGTTAAATTTATTCCTAGGTATTGTTTTTTTGGTGCAGTTGTAAATGAGACTGTTTTCTTAGTTTCCCTTTCTGATTGTCCATTATTGGAGCATAAAAGTGCAACTGATTTCTGGATATTTATTTTGTATACTGCCACTTCAGCGAATTCATTTATCAATTCTAGTGGTTTTTTGATGGAATCTTTAGAGTTCTGTATATACAGTATTATGTCACTTTCAAATGATGGCAGCTTTACTTCTTCCTTTACAATTTGCATGCCTTTTATTTCTTCTTATCTGATTGCTATGTCTAGGACTTCTGGTGCTATGTTAAATAAGGGTGGTTAAAGTGGACGTCCCTTTGTACATGGTTTCCTTTGGGTCTTTAACCATATTTAAAATAATTTAAATTTTTTACCTAGTAAGTTTAATATTTAGGTTTTCTTGGGGACTATTCTAATTTTTTTTCCTATAACAGGCCATACATTTGTATCTTTGCCTGCCTCATAATTTCATTTGCTGAAAACTGGACATTTGGAATAGTATAATATGGCAATTCTGGAATAATATTTTTCCATTCCCCAGAGTTTGTTGTTGTTGCTTGTTGTAGTTGATGCTGTATGTATGTTTAGTGATGTTTGTGAACTAACTTTATAATGTCTAAATTTGTTGTGCATGGACACGGAAGGCTCTGCTGTGTTAAGAAATCTCCTTGAATGCCTGGAACAAAAACAAACAAGCGAACAAACAAAAAACTAGTCTCTGCAGATGGGCTCTGAATATATAAAAGGGGTTTACACTCTGCCATAGCCTTCCCATCCTGCTTATGTAGAGCCTAAAGGTCAGCCAGAGTTGAAGGCATGGTGTCTTTTCAGGTCTTTTCATGCCTTTTCAGGTTTTTTTCTGAGCATGTGCCCAAACTTGGGAATGCATGACGCTATTATATTAAAATTGTCACTGTAAAAAAAAGTCCAAAACCTATACAAAAATTTTATAAGAGTTTAAGCAAAACCAAAGACAGTTGCCAGGAATCAAGACCTCAAATGCTCCAGAGAATGCCAGTTTTGTGGTTTCTTTTATGTATTTGAAATTAGGGAGGGAACACAAGGAAGATTACAGAAAGGTGTGAAAAAGCAAGGTGTAGAACAAATTACAGGAGAGTTAAGATTGTGTTCTCTTGAGGATGGTTGTGCCTTCAAGAGGTATTACTTCTGGCATTTCAAAAGTGTGTGAACATATATGCCTAAAACCAATGGGCAGGACTTGCTTTAAAAAACCTTTCCCTAAAGAAATTATGTTATGTGACTAACAACCATGACCTGCCCAGTTAGGAATTTATGATTTATTACAGCACCCCTTTTTTCCCCACAATATGAGCATTTCAAAAATTCCCCAGAATATCTTATTCCACACTTTTCCTTCTAAGTTTCTGGCCAGTCTTTTGTTTTCTTCTGCTGTTTTCCCTTGCTTCAGGTGGTGGTTGTTGATAGATTTGCCTCTAAATGTGTTTAGTGCATACCCGCTGGGTAGCCAGCTCAGCCCTTGTCCAGCTTAGGATTGGATCAATGAAATCAAGCCCTTTGAGCTAGACCTTCAGAAAGGTCAAAACTATCACAGTTCCTTGAGGTAATGGTCCATTCTGCTCCTTCCAGTAGTAGGAATGTGGCATGTTGTCTTCAAGGTCACAGACAAAGGAGGGAATACAGGGTGGATCAAGGATCAGTTAAAATGTCATTTGTCGTGGTGGGTTTTTTTTCTTGATTAAGCATTCTCCTAGTTGCGGTAATCTTGTGATAAGTTTCCAGAGCTCTAATAAAGTTCATTCTGATAGTTTTTGCCAGTTTATTCACAGTTTTTGTGCAGGATGGGCTTTTGAAGTTTAATATTCCTCATTTTCGAAGTCATTACTTCTCACAAGTCTTTCTTAAGCACTTCTGTGTTCCTGGGTCTGTGCTTGGTTTAGGAGTATGGTGATGAATGAGACAGACGTGTTCTCTACCCTTGCAGAGCTTACCGACTGATGTCTCCACTATGAACTGAATGTGTCTGCTTCCTACCCTGTCTTTATGTCTCCATGGTTAAAGCTTTTAGAGCTTCTGAAGTGTGCACTTAAACTTTGTCATGGGCTTTGGGACTAAATTGACCCTTGGATAACACAGGTTTGAACTGGGTGGGTCCATTTATATGTGGATTTTTTCAATAAATATACAGATGGCCCTTCATATCCCAGGCCTCATATCTGAAGATTCAGCCAACCACAGATCAAAAGTAGTTTTCAATTCATGGGTTGGGAATTTGTGAATGTAAAGGGACAACTGTATGTGTTGTTCCATCCCATTTTATATAAGGGACTTGAGCATCTGTGGATTTTCATTTCACAGGGGACCCTTGACTCAGTCTCCCATGGATACCAAGGGACAACTAAAGTTTTGGGGGAGTCAAATTAAGTGTAGATTTTTCACTATGCAGGTGGTCAGCGCCACTAAACCCCTCATCCCAGTGTCAACAGTATTTATGCCGTCACCTAGATATGAGTGAGGATGCTTGTATTTTTGTTCCTTGAGAGTCATAATATTCAAAAGAATTTAGGTATAATTAGTCACTGTTCCAAAAGTCACACTTGGTCATCTCTATAATTGTTGGCTTCAGTTTCATGGAGTTGCTTGTCACCTGCATAGTCCCCCTTCAACATGTCTTTTCTACATGATTAGGGTATCATGTTGATAAACTCAGCCTAATCTCTCCGTTGGAGCCAGAAGACAAGGTGATGGCAGAGGGGAGAGGAGTTCTCCCTGACATTTGTCCAGGTGAGCACCACATGGATATGAGCCCTTGTGAGGAATAGCTGTGGCCAGTGATTGGGGATGTGGGATTATTACAGTAAGAAATATCAGAGAACATTAGAAAATGTCTTTTTTTTTTCCTAATGGAGATGGCCAAGAACATTTGGTTTTAACTTTCTTTTTTCTTTTTTAAACTTCTGTTCAACATCTCATACTTTACTTTGTACTCAGAGGTTAAAAAAAAGACATCTCCTTCTTAAAATAAAAGTCTCATATGAGCTTTTTGTCCTATTTCTTTATACTTTGCATCCTTGATAATTCCTTCTTTTGTAAATCTCTGATAAATCTTAATCCTTCCAGAATCCTTTTTTAAAACCTGCAGTTTTCATACTCATATCCCTCTCACTGCAGACCTCCTCAAAAACCCTAATCCCTCTGAGTCTAGCTTCACTCATGTATGCGCTTTACTATTTCTTTTCTTTATCAATTTAAATTTCTTTTCAATCTGTTTCAGATTTGGAGACTATACTTAAAGCCAAATGGTTAACTCCTAAGAAGCATGTTTTTAGAAAAAAACGTTCTAGTGGCGTAAAAGCGGTAAGACTAACATGTGTGATTCTTAGTTTTTCACAGTAGGAGAATTCTAAAAGTTAAAAAAAAAAAAAAAGAGTCATTAAAAGAAAGTATCATTTACACAAAAGAAAATAGTGTCTCTGGAGTGATGCTGTGAAAAAATGGTGAATTCGGAGGAAATTATGTTAGCTCCAAACTTTTTTCACTGAGAGTTTCCACAAGTAAATATTTCCTTAAATGTGACTAAGATTTTTAAATGTGTCTCTGATACTGTCTGTTGAATCATAAAGTGGTCTTAAATTAGTAAAAATGCTCTGTGAGCATGGTAAGGACTTGAGGCAAAGCATGTATTGTTTTGAATTTCTAAGAGTTCACACCGGGCAGAAGTCATGTACAAGCACTAAAACAGTGAAAACATCAGTGATAATAATGTAATAAATTCCTAGGAGAGAGAATTTATGACAAAACCGAATATGGAAAATATTACAAATTATAGTTTTCATTCATCTCTTTATCAACAGGAAAGAAATCATGTTGGAGTGAAACTCAATGAATGTAATCAGTGTTTTAAAGTTTTCAGCACAAAATCTAACCTTACTCAGCACAAGAGAATTCATACTGGAGAAAAACCCTATGACTGTAACCAATGTGGAAAATCCTTCAGCAGTAGATCGTATCTTACTATTCATAAGAGAATACATAATGGGGAGAAACCCTATGAATGCAATGACTGTGGGAAAGCCTTCAATGATCCCTCATCCCTCAGACTGCATGTAAGAATTCATACTGGAGAAAAACCTTACGAATGTAACCAGTGTTTTCATGTTTTCCGTACCAGCTGTAACCTCAAAAGCCACAAGAGAATTCATACGAGAGAGAATCATCATGAGTGTAATCAGTGTGGAAAGGCCTTCAGCACAAGGTCCTCCCTTACTGGGCACAACAGTATTCATACAGGGGAGAAACCTTACGAGTGCCATGATTGTGGGAAGACCTTTAGGAAGAGCTCCTATCTGACACAGCATATGAGAACTCATACTGGAGAAAAACCCTATATGTGTGCTCAGTGTGGCAAATCCTTCAGTAGTAGCTTTTCCCTCACTGTGCACAGGAGAATTCATACCGGGGAGAAACCCTATGAGTGCAGTAACTGTGGGAAAGCTTTTAATAACCTCTCAGCTGTTAAGAAACATGTGAGAACTCACACTGGAGAAAAACCCTATGAATGTAATCATTGTGGAAAATCTTTCACCACTAACTCTTACCTTTCTGTGCATAAGAAAATACATAACAGGTGGATTTGAATGCAATAACTGGGGAAGCATTCATTGATTTCTTGTCCCTCAGACGACTTGTGGTAACTCATCCTAGGTGTATGAGTTACCTGTTGCTGCATAACAAATGTCCCTGTAAAACATAGTGGCTTCTAACAACAGACATTTATTATCTCTCAATTTCTGTAGGTCACAAGTTCATAAATGGCTTAACTTTGTAGTTCTGGCTTAGGATCTGTTATGAGGGCTCAGTCAAGATTGTCAGCAGGAGCTACAATTAATCTGCATTTTCACTACTGAGGAGCTTGTTTCCAGAATGGCTCACTCACATGCCTGGAAAGTTAGTGCTGGATGTTGGCAGGGAACTTTCATTTCCTCACCATCTAGGCATCTCCGCAGGGTCTAAGTATTTTTGTAAGATAGCAGCAGGTTCCCTCTAGAGCATTGGTCTAAGGGAGAGCTAGTGCTGAAGCCATGTTGTCTTTTATGGCTGACCTGTGGAAGGACATAATATTACTTCCGTATTGTGTTGGACATACAGACCAGTCCTGATACACTGTGGAAGGAGACTAACAGGAATGTATACCAGGAGAGAGATCATTGGGAACCATCTGAGAAGCTTGCCATGAAATCAATGGAGAAAGGCCTTCGGCCTTTCAATCTGTTTGATGTGAAGGATTATTCAGAAACTCTCATGTTAATTAACTCTGGAGAAAAAACTCATGAGTGCAGTCTTTGTGGTAAGCTTTCAGCTCAAAATCACCTTAATGGGCACAAAACATGTGCTGGGGAGAAACCCAAGGAATGTAATAGCTATAGGAAGGCTTTCAGTGATACCACTACAGAGTCACGTGACAATTCACACTGAGGGTAAAACTTTACAAGTATCAGAATGCAGAAAACTTGAGGAGCACTCATCCCTTAGAACACACATGAGAAATCACTGCAGCGAAACACTCATATAAAGGATGTGAAAACCCTACAGCACAAGCATTCACATTACTGAGCAAAAGGTGAGATATTCTGAATGCAATGGAAAAGCCTTGATGTTCTCTCAATTTTTGAGAAATGTGAGGATTTATTCTGGAGAGAAAGACTGATTAAATGTTATCAGTACTGGAAAGTCTTCCATTTTTCCCATTCTTAGAAAACAGAACTCACTGCAAAGAAACCTATGAATATAAAGATTGAGGGAATGCCTTTAATAATAGCTTCTACATTAAAAAAAACAAACATGAAATTCTCCCTGGATGCAAAACCTGTCAGCATATTAATTTTGGAAGATCTTTCTGTGATTCCAGTCTTTGTTGACCTGTGAGAACTCACACTGGAGGGAGACACTAGGAATGCAGTCAGTGCAACGATGCCTCAGCCTCACTGCTTCACTGAGCAGCCACAAAATAACTTCACTGGGAATGGAAAACATCAACCCTATGAGTGTGGTATTGTCTTTAACAGTGTCTAATCCTTAGGTTGGTCGGTTAGCTCATGAATTTTCAGTTGTTTTGTTTTAGTATAAACATTTATGTCTATAGCTATACCATAAACCTAAAGTTATGTTCTATAGTTTGGTATCTAATATGTTCATCATCATTTACACTTTTAAAATAGCAGTATGCTACAAATGTATTTCTGAATATCTGCTGAGTGATTTAGTTTATCATAATGAAATATTATATAGACTATACACTTTTAATTTAACTACATTTTTGTCAACTAAGTGGACTTTGTGATGTCGATTCATTTTTATCTTTATATCCTAGTATAGCAGTTACTTTTAGCTTCTTCCCCAATGCCCATTCTCCCCTACTTACTCACTTAACGAAAAAAACATTTTGTTCAAGTTGTCAAACAATATTGAAAATACTCAATATGTAAAGCTTCCCTAAAGCTCAGAGGTGTGTGGACCTGCTGTGCTGGCTGTAAGAAGTAGGCAGAAGTCACTGGGGGTCCCTCATCTGCTTGTTCACCTTTCTTATATTCTATGCATCTTAACTAAGTTTTCCCTTGAAAGTGGGCTCAAGACCTGGAATTGGAAGAGCTATGTTTTGATTATGATGACAAAAAAAAATAATTTTAAAAAGTCACACTGATATAGGCTCCCCAGAAGCTTCTTTGGCTGTATCAACTCTGAATGACTTATTCCTAGGCTTCATATGTGATTAAAAGTAACCTCTGAGAGACTGGAGCCAAAGTGATTTGGGGGGTTTGTTTTTAAGGAGGTGTTGTGCTAATGTCCAGCTGAATTCAACATCTAACTGGTAAAGCTGTTATTGGTCAAACTTTATAAATGTGCCATGTTTGTTTGAAAACATTATGCATTCAATAAATTTTAAATACAGATTATATATACACCCATTAACTCACATTCATTGTTTTTTGATACAGTATACAGATTCAGAGTATTTTTGCTCAAACTTGTTTATATTTAGTGATAGATGTGTGTTCAGGTCTTTCACTTTGGTTATAAATTAACATTCAGTTTTGTAATTCTGTCCTTTTTATTTATATATTTTGATGTACCATAACTAAGCAACAGGATTAATTATTTTCTTGTGAATTGTTTCCTTTTATCATAGGGACCATATTTTTATAGCCAGGTATTTCAATACATTAATAAATGATCAAGCTTTTAAATAGCACTTTCCATATACTAGATACTCTCCTGAATGCCTTATGAATGTCAACTTACTGAGTATTCAATATAAGCTTCCAAAAGTATGTACCATTAATATCCCCCTTTTGCATATGAGAAAACTAGTATGGGACACTTACATTACTTACCTGAGTGCAGTGGCTAGTAAGCGGTAGAGCCCAGGTTTGAACCCACACAGTCTGTGCAGTTAACCACTGGCCTCTTTATTGAATGTATTCTATACGCCAAACTGTTAGAGACACTGGTATCTGTAACAATGAATGAAATTCAAGTTTTGCCATTGAAATACACCCCAGTAGGAGAAAGACGGGTTATAGAAAAATTGAGAACATATAATAACATTGTTATTATAAGTGTTATATGAGAAACTGAAGTACTGTAAGATAGTTAAGGGAGTTTCGGATCTTGCTATTTTATAGAGAATTAGAAAGGAAAGCCTCTTAGTTAAGGGGCCCTTGAACAGAGATTTTAATGAGTTGGGACAGCGAGTCATGTGAATTTGTGTGGCAAGAGTGGTGTTGATGTGGAAAGGCCAACCACATGAAGGCCAGTGTGAACAGAGCAGGACAAGTGGGGGACGTTCAGAGACCAGTAGAGGTAGAAGGTAATGTGGTCAGATTTGGTGGATTCTTGTCCCACTGGGTTTTATGGGTCATTGTTAGGACTTTTCCTTACACTTTCAGTGAGTTGGCATATCAGTCAGAGTCCCAGCAGGAAACAAATATCTGAGTAGAGTGTTTGTAAAGGGTCTGTTCATACTGTTGTAGATAGGGTAGAGAAGAACCACAAAAGGTGAGTGGTACACAGTAGATGGTAAGGGCAGGGCTCTGTTAATACCCCTAAACCTGAAGGGGCGAGGGGAGGGGACAATTTATTGAAAACTGGAGACGAGAGAGGTGCATACTGGGAGTTAAGAGGAAGTCAGGAATAGTACCCAGCCCCAATTCTGCAAGAAGTAGCCAGAGCAAGACTTCATTTTCTTTCATTTTTTTATTTAATGCCTAAGCTCTCCATTGACCAAACCCAACCAGAAACTATAAGGTAAGAAAGCCCATGGATGTGATTTATCTCGACTAACCCTGGGTACAGAAGATAGAGAAGGGGATCCTTTGGGGCTAATGAAAAATGTCCAGAAATGTTTATTCCTTTCGCTTCTTGGAATCTACTCTTGTGAATCACCTGAGTGGGAACTTTAGACCCCTGCCCAGAAATTCCATCAGCTATTGTACTGTCCTGAGTGCTGCCAAAGTATTGCTGTTCCTACCTGCAGTCTACAGTGGTCGCCGCCTCCTTCACGTATGATGGGCCATGGGGCTTTTGGGAAGAAACATACAATATTAATATAAATATATATAAATAAAATTAACCACCAAATAGATATATATAATATAAATATATATAATATATAAATATAATATGTATGTAAATAAAATTAACCACCCTGGCCAGTGTGGCTAAGTTGGAGTGTCGTCTCATGGCCAAAGACTTGTGGGTTCATACCCAGTAGAGGTGCATGCCTGGGTTGCAGGTTTGATTCCTGATGTGGGTATGTATGATCCCCAGCCCCGGCGCAAATGATCCCCGGTCCAATGCCCATTCTGGGCGAGTATCCTTGGGTGAGGATAAAAATAAATAATTAACCTAAAGATCCTGGCTTCCAGAGGGGGACCCTTCCACAAGCAGACAGACTGAGAGCCCCACTGAACATTACGACTGCTATGAGACAAGCCAGTAGGAAAGGAGTCACCAAGGCTTCTGCCACCGTGACTTAGCCACCTGGAGGATATGGGACTTATGTTAGGCATTGAAGACAGACGAAACATCTGGCACTCTGGCAGTCTGCTGGGATATCTCTTGATATCTTTCCCAAATTTGGGTGATAAGCAAGTGTAGCAGCTGTGCCCTGAGACGGACAGGGTGACCAGGTGTTTCTGGATCATCCCCCCTAGTAAGCCACCTAAAGCAGCTGAGGTGCATCTGAAGTGGATAGCAGAGGACTGTGATGAGAGTTATCAGTTGCAACCCTGAGAAAAGCTGCTGTCAAGAGCTGTCAGTCTGTCCCAGTGATCCTCCTCTTGCAAGCTTCTCTAGGCAACCAGACCAACCATAACTCAATGTTCACTTATGTTAAAAAGCACGTGCATCTGAGCAAAGTAAGTGGTGGATCAAAATGGAGGAGGTGGTATATTTCTCAGATTCTTTTTTTCAGGACTAAGTCATTTACTGCCCCAGCTGCCAGAAGTGTTGGCTGCTGATAGCTTATGCTGCCATCCTCTGTGACTTCCCTGGGCCAAGGAAAGTGCCACACCTAAGATTGCAGCCCTTCCAGTGACTGGTTACAAAGGCCCAGTTCCTTTGCATCGACTTGAGACACGTTTGGAAAACCACCCCAGCTCCAGAGCTCCCTATGGAATCAAGTAAACTCTGTTTAACTTACTACAGTTCAGTCGCTTACTCTTCCCAATCCCGGTTCCTCCTTTACAGATACTCCTCAATAAAGTCCCTTAAGCAAAAATCTCCCCCAGACCAAAACTCACACTATCAAGTAATGAACCCCATTCTGATGAGGATCCCACAGAGACAAGGGGCACATGAAATGAGCGGTGAGGGAAGGCTGCCAGGCCAGGTGCAGAAGCAGCAACAGAAGGCAGCTATATTTTTAGTTAATTGTTCATTTTTCCCACCTATCCCCCTGGGCCTTCTTTCCTCCTTCTGTCTTACGTTAGAAACAAAAAACGTGTACCAAAAGCCTCAGGTATCTAGTGTGAGTGTGATCTAATTGATACTACCCTAAAGTAACACAGTTGATGGGCTTCCTTTGTATCTTTTAGGAGAACACAGACTTATCACTAGATGAAGGACACGAGTTGATGTCAAGAAGCTGAAGGGAGTAAACAGTGTTGAATGTCCTCTGTTCTTCCAGATCCACTCTTTGCCACCTTGCTCTGTGACTGAGAGGTTAGCCTGGGCAGCCTGCTTTAATAGGCCCATTGCCTTAGCGCTGCTATTTAAGTTGGTCAGTGGGGAGCCCAGGTGGGAGATTGGAGGGATGGAGCAGAGTGCGGCCGTGTGCTGTCCTTGTCCCTGCAGCAGAACTGGAGTCCGGAAGCTACCCTCGGCCTCTTCTCAGCCCCTGTAGTGCAGTTATTTCTGTCTGTTGTGTCCTCAGATTTCAGTAATAGGTCCTTCACCTCACCTGTTCTTCCTTGCTCTTCTTCCAGTCACCAAATGCGCAGCATCCCTATTTGTTTTTCCGACTCCCTGGTCCCAGCAACATGTGTTGTTCCGATTCAGTACATGTACTGAGTACAATGAGACCATTTCCCAGAAGGCCCCACACAGTCAGGGTCTGCTGCACTGCTGACCTGGAGTTCCAACTCTCCTGTGTTCTTCCTCCACTGCACTCGCACTGATCTCACTGTTGTCCCGTTGCCCCAGCACCACTCGGCATCAGGGTCCCTATCCTGCCCAGGCTGATACTCTCACAGAGCCACTGGGATGGCTCTCACAACTTCCTTAGGTCTCTGCTCAAATGTCCTCTGAGCTGAGAGGCTTTCCCACCTCAATAAATGAATGTCCCCAGTTCCCACATTTCTTGCCACATTTATGGGGAATCATTTTCTCAATGGCACTTACTATATGATCGACTCTCTTTATTAATTGTTTGACTAGTAGTCCCCATCCCAAAGCACAAGGATGTGAACACCGTGAAGGCAAGCACCATCTGATCCGTCGCTGTGGACCTTCTGCTGCACGCTGTGCCTGGCGCAGAAGCAGCGTCCTGTAGCACGGGAGTTAAGAGTGTTCATCTGGAGGGAGACTAGACTTTACCAGTCATCTCAGGCAAGTAACAAACTTTGTGCCCAAGTTTCTTCATCTGTAAAATAGGCACAATGAAAGTGCCTACTTCCTAGACTAGTATTGAGAGTTTAGTAAGTTAATCTGTGTAAAGCACTTATGAGACTTCCTGGTACATAGGAACATATTTAATCTTGTATCGTGAATTACATAAATTTATTGTAGGATTATACCAAGAAATATAAGATACAAAGGAGTAAATATTGTATGATTCTATTTGTATAAACATCAAGGACAGGAAAAAAGTAATCTGTGATAGGCACTGACCGGTGTGGCTCAGTTGGTTGGGCATCATCCCTCAAAGCAAAGGTCTCCTGTTCGATTCCTGGTCAGGGCACATGCCTGGGTTGTGGGTTTGGTTCCTGGTTGGGGTGCATTTAAGGGGTAACCGATCAGTGTTTCTCTCTCACATCGGTGCTTTTCTCTCTCTGTCTCCCTTCCCCTCTCTCTAGAAATAAATCTTTTTTTAAGTGATCTGTGATAGGAAAAAGAAAAATGAGAACAATGGTTCCAGCTGAACCCAGGTTGGGAGGAAGAAGTGAGGTGGGAGCAGGACTGGAGGAACTTTGTGGGGCGAGGAGAATGCTCTGTACTTTGAAAGGAGTGTAGGTCACATACGTGCGTGCATCAGAATATGCTAAGATCTGTACATTGAGCTGTATGTACCTTCCACTTCAATTTAAATCAGACCCATTTTGATAAGGAAGCCAGAGACCAAAAGACATTTATTTATTATATGATTCTGTTATATGATGTTCTGGAAATGGCTACAACTTCAGGGAAGAATAACAAATCAGTGGCTTCCAGGGGTGAGGAGTGAGGGGGCGGGGCACTACAATA